TGTCATTGCAGCCCTTTTCAAGTAAATCAAATTAATACATATAAATGCAAACTAAAAGGAAGAAACAAATAATAATCCTTAAGGTTCGTCAGTAATAATTAATAAAAATCTCTTCTCAAAGTTAAAAGTCGACCAAACTGGCAATCCTTTATTATAAATAATACATTTGTATTAATTTGATTTACTTGAAAAGGGCTGCAATGACAGCCGAAACGTTGTAATTCTATTAATTATTTATAATAAAGGATTGCCAGTTTGGTCGACTTTTAACTTTGAGAATAGATTTTTATTAATTATTACTGGCGAACCTTAAGGATTATTATTTGTTTTCTTCCTTTTAGTTTGCATTTTTAGGGACGTTGCAAAGATGAAGAGTAAAGACGCGTCCCTCGTAAAGATCGATCAACTATGTACCGCGGTATCGATTTCCATGATGATAGCAGGGAATGTCCGTGCTTTTTTCGCCGAGGAGTTTCTCTTTTCGATGAATAAGATGGCTATAAAGAATGCAATGGGGTAGAATTAATGGGACATCTCTCCTGGTAATGGATGCTGAGTAACGTCCTCCCGATAATTTTTCTTCATCGGATTCCTCTCTGGAAACGTAATTCAAAACTAATAAAAGTTCATCAAATTTGCACAATGGAATTAACACGCACGGTAGAAGAACAGACTTATAGGGAGCCAATTAGGCTACTTGAATTCTCCTTGGAAACCAGTACACCTTCATTATCTTACTGAGAGGTATCATTATCGCTAAAGAGAAGGAAGATGAATAAAGAGGACAGACATGTTTCAATTTAAGTACTATATATATATTTTTTTTATTGTATCCTGCATTCGAGCCTTTATATAAATAATGAACAATGAATACCGACATATTAAATGAGCTTCTATTTCACTCTCTTTCTCTCTCTCTCTCTCTCTCTCTTTCTTTTCTCCACCTGTTGTATTAACTGGACGACGATCGAGCATTATAAGTTCGCGTTTTCTCACTTTAATTGCATTAATGATGATATAATAGTACCAATAACTTACAGACTTGCTTACAGACTTGCTTTAACCATAATCGTGTATACATTAGTATGTGGATGCATGGGGGATGAAATATGATTAATGATGATAGAGTATATTGAAGAGAGCGTGCATTTATATATATATACACACACACACACACATGCGAATAAACACACATGTACACCACGCATTCTCTGTCGCTCGTTCTGCAGTTTTTTTTTTTTTTTTCAGAAATAACACTTTTCCCGCGCGGCTTAACTTCTAATTTCGAGTTATATTATCGAACACACGTAGATTATTTTGCTTGTAATCTCGCGCACTCTCTCTCTCTCTCTCTGTCTCTATTTCTCTCTCACGCACAAACACGTATACATACCCACGTGATATTATCCAGAGCGGTAATCGTCACGTCGCACGGTGGACAATAGCGGCATATTGCTTGGACAAAATAAAGAAAAAAAAACATAAGGCATTAAAAACGAAACGACGCTTTTATTCTCCGGAGGGCGGTTTTTAATTAGAGTTAATCTCCCCAAGATTAGCAAGGCCAAATGTAAAACTGTTCTAGAGCAAAAATTGTCGAAAAAAACTGCCGTACAGAGATAAACGTATATATATATATAAATTTGCTATATCAAAATCCAACAATTGTATCACAAATAAAAATTATCGAGTGTTGGGCAGTTTATATATTTAAATATATATATATATATATATATATTATATATTTTATATATATTATATATATAATATTTATAATATATATAATATATATATTATATAATTGCTTTACATTAATTTTTGATGTAATGAAATTTCCCACAATAGAAGTTTTACGAGCCTTAGCTCCATTAAAAAGATCATCTCTCTCGTAATAAATAAATTTCTTATTGAATCTTATTTTACTATCACTTCGATGACACATGAAATATTTTCGGGACTCGCTTGGGCCGATAGAAATTAACACGATCTAATTACTTTTATAGCTTACAGTTTGTAATTTCTTTCGTTATTTTTAACTGAAAAATTAAATAAGAGAATAACTGAAAAAGTTGATTAAAGCAGATTAATTCTGTGATAAAAAAAAAAAAGTCTTTTCTAATCTTATAAAATAACATATAAGCGATATTCGCCGTCTGTGCAGCGAGAATGCAGACGGAAAAACTTTTCCTATCTTTCTCGAAAATGAATTTCCCTGTGAGCGAAACCGTCGGGACAAGCAAACAATCGAAACTGATGACATTCGGGTTCTATTGCCTCCGGTCGGGACAAGCGAGAGAATATTCTGCGAGAGAAAATTTACGCTTACCTTATCCCGAGACGTAGTTATAAAACTGGCCGTTGAAGTTTGCGCGCGCTTGACATTAATTCGCAAATTGGCCTCTCGCGGATTAAAGCCACCTGAATCTTACGCCTTTTGCGAAACGAAACAAGAAAGGGAACGGCGTAGACGACGGACGTCTCCCTCGCGAAAACTTCTCTTCAAGAGAACAACGGAACGATAAACCTACCCCGAAGAAGCGAGAGAGTGAGGAGAAAAGCCCGATAGCGAATAAAGTTTACCCGCGAAACATCCGGAAAACGTCATTCGTTGCGATTCAATGCATTCCCGATGCACTCCCTCATCATCCCCAGCTCTCTCTCTCTCAATCTCTTTTTTTCGCGCTCGGAATAATAATTAAATTTATCGCGGGCTACCAATTATACGGGCGCGGATGTGGTTTTTGCGTAACGCGGATCGCGCACGCGTCTCGTTGAAATATTTTGCACCTGCTCGTGCAATAATGCCTCTGTTAAATTATCACATTACGCAGTCGGTGAGCGCGAAGGGGTAGCATTGCCGCGCGAGTAGAAGCTACTGATTTACACCAAACTAACCGTACGTCATTGTCAGGGTAGGGTACTGCTTAACGGTTCATTTTCCATCGGTACGATCGGCAATTTGTTGCCCCGATCGATCTCGTCGTCCGAATGTCGCGCTTTTACCCGGGATGTGTCGCACGGATGTGTATGGATCCCACCCTCTCTCTCTCTCTCTGCTTTGCCCGAGTACATCCCTAATGCAATCGTACACTCACCGCTACACATTGTGCGCGCGCTATAAAATTTCTAAAATGCAAATGCTAACTCGCATACGTTATTTCCGCGCACGCGGATTTAATTCGATATATTTTCGGGATTTATTTGGATCCTTGCGGCTCGATCTCATTTTCTCGACGATTTTCTCTCTCTCTCTCTCTTTTTTTTTTTTTTTTTTTTTTTTTGAATAATTCTAGGTGATGTTTTATGTAAATCGATCTGTGATATATTTAAAACGTTTTTAAATTATAGAAATTATTACTTATTTTTATAAAGCTGCACATATAGTTTCGATAATCTAATTTAATTTTGCGATACCTTTATTTTTTTCAGTTAAACTGAGAAATTATATTATTATTAATTGTATCAGTTGGTTTGAAAAACCCGTTGTAATATCACATTTCAATAGTTTTAAAAGGAAATAATTTTATATAAAAATTGACTCTACTATATCTTTTAATTGCAAAAATCGTTATAATCAAATATGACGATATGCAGTCACATATATGGCGTAATCGAAGAGTTTATTTCACTTTACAAAATCCATTATGATATTCACAATATTTCAATAATTTTACGAAAAAAATTTTATAAAACTCGACTACTAGATCTTTTAATGCAATCAACGCGGATTCCATTTGGTATTCGTTAACGGCAGGCATATTTTAAACGGACGAACGAACGAACGAACGAACGAACAAATGAATCTTCATCGTCCATGTTCATCGTGTATTGGTAGTCACCGGGCTCTATCGAGCATGAAGATTAACACTGAACATTGATGATACATCGTAATCATTGTTTCATGCTCGAATAATTTCTTCGTCCCATTACGAGCCTCGAAAATATTGCCTCTGCCAAATGAAATTAACAATGACACTTTTTATGTGTCAGGAGAGAATCAATGTTTAACAGTTACTTTATCAATTTTTTTTTTATCAACAATGATTATCGTCGAGCGTTTCAATGTGTAAAATTGCTACGTAGCCAATCGTTTGTTAATAGCACGATAAATTTCGATTTGTTCACAGAGAATTGCGTTTTCAACGCAAACTGCTGGAGATGTAGGGGATGATATGTAGATCTGTGTGGACTTTGTATAGTCTGTAATTATCAAAAATCGATGAATATCAGACGGAGAGAATGGGAATGTTTTTATTATTATATGTATACAACAGAGAGAGTGTAATTGTATAATTGTATTGTAGACCGATCGAAATGAAACAGTTTTTTTTTTTTAGTAATAAACTGACAAATTTTCCGTTTTCCCGAATATCGAAAAAAGCTACTTGTTACATCGTCAACGATCAACCAAATTCTGTACACAGAAATTCTTTGGACGGTGTCATTCGAAACAAATTTACTACAAATTTAGTTTGACGTTTCGACATATACTTCCTTCATATAATATTAGAATTCTCATACTAAAAATACATAACAGTGTACAGACGTAAAGTTCAACAAACATATACATATATATGTACAAAAGTGAATATATATATATACAAAAGTATATATATATACACATTCCAAATTTTGCAACTTTACAAAAACTCGCAAGATTCGTCTTCTCCGATCGATAAAAAATTGTTCGTTGTTATACATTACATATATACCCTCCGTGAAGAATTATATATTATACAGAGTGTATCTAAATAAGTGCGAAAAATTTTAGATGACTCTTTGTCGAAAATTAAAAAGGGTTTCTTATATAGACATATACTCTTATATCTCTCCCTGAGAAGTTACACTTTTCTAAAGAGGGAGGTAAAAAGTAAGTTTTAATTTTTTCTAATTTCAGACAAATTTAAAAAATGAAACGGAAAATTCATCAAGTTTTATTTTTAATTTGGCTGAAATTTGAGAGAAAAAATGAAAACTTAATTAAGATATAAGAGTATATATGTTTATATAAAAAACCCCCCTTATAATTTTCAACAAAGAATCATTTCCTGAAATTTTTCGCTATTATTTAGAGATACACCCTGTATATTAAAATTTATATATATTGGTGAATTTTCAATTTGCTTTTAATTATGTTTCCGGAACAAAAGACTGTATTTTACGTCGGTATACCTTGAATACGCAGATAAAATGAAAAAAATAAAGAAATAAAATAAAAAAAAATGTCCATTATATAGTTAGTCACACCATTTCTCCGGCAACGATTTATACGAGCGTATATCATATAGTCGCGCATTATATATCACATGAACGGAATCTCTTAATTAACGGATCCGCATTTGAACATTGTGGGGAACGCGCAATAACAACGTGTCAACATGCCAGTACCAGGAGCTCGAACACACGCACACACACACACACACACACACACACCACACGAAGGGGAAGGAGAGATGAAAAGTTTTCTCTCCCTCTCTTCCAACCTCCCAGAAATTCGCGAAACACCATCCGACACTCGTCCGAATGCAAATCCCGCATCGATCGCCACCGGAAGCGATTAGTCAAGTTTCTCGTGAAATGTCTGTCGAAACTGATACGCGTCGTCGTCTCGCCGAATCCGCGAAGATCTCGAAGCTAGAGAGCTCGTTCGAGAGTTGAGTTCTCGAAATCGCGGATTCGCTCTTGATACCCATCCTCTAGTTGTCACGCGTATATATACATGTACATATATATATATATATATATATATATATATACCGCGACATTTCCCATGTGAGGCCAGATATCCCGTTTCGTATACGTACTTCGCACAACCAATTGCTGCATGTGGTTTCCTGCGAAAGTGGCAGAGTGGTAGGGAGCCTAATAATGCCTCCAAAGTTCTCGTCTCCGCTTCGTGAGAGAGGACATTCCGGACGCGCGAGAGGATCCTCCCGTGGGGAGAGAGAAAGTTAGCACCATTCGAATCGCAGGTTCAAAATGCACCGGGGTCATCACGGTCACCTTAAGAGCGACGATAGTGATATCACAACGGTGAAAATAAAGGTCGCCCTCGGGGTTGAGGAACCCCCGTGTTGCATAGCAGCTGGATTCTCCCCTGCAACAGTACGAAAAAGAGAGAATATTTGAATTAATTATACTCTATTTTTTTCTCATTTTTAATACTTTTTTATAATGTTGATTGTAAATTAAAATAACGATTAATTAATATTTTTATAAAATATTTTGTTAGATTTTTATTATATAATATTATTATATATTTTTATTTTTGCATCAAATTATCTTCAAACTTTATATTTGCTCTTTTTATTCAAGTCACATTTTTTATTCTTAATATTTTAACATCTTATTTAATCAAAATTTTTATACTAAATTTAATATTTTCTTATACATCAAATATATCTTTATATATATCTATATATCTTTTAATTTCTCACTTACCTTAAAATAAAGATAATTAAAAACTTTTAGATTCATACATTATACATTTTTTAAATTAAGAGAGAAATTGTTTTAATTTCTTTTTACTTACTTATTATTTTTCTCTGTCATTTTTATACAATAATATTCATATTTTTAACCAATTTCATCATTTATTATTATCTTATTTAAATTCTTATGGACCCCGTAGTATATTTATCTATATCAATTATCGAATACTATTAATTTCATGTGCACTTCTCTTCTCTTTTGAGATCTATTTTTGTGTTTACAATGCATCGAATATTTTCGAGAGACCGCAAGTTGAATTTTTGGAAAAATAACTTCGCCGGAGATGTTTACGAAAAATCGTCGCCCACATCCTGATATTTCGCTGATATTGCACCATAGACAAACGTGACAGATTAAAGTCGAATATTATTTTTCCAACAAACACGATATTTTTACGAATATTGTATTTCACGCGAGAATTGCGGCCTAGAAATTAAATATTAAATGTTTGCAAAATTTACGTTTTTAAATTATTATTCTGTCGGATGAATCAAACATAAATCATGTTATATCTTATGATTACAATAATACCTTTAGTTTGAACGGCAAGAAAACGGAAGACGTGTTTCCGGTTTAAAAATTTAGTAGTAGAAAAGATATATTATTCTAAAGAATTGAGAAAGAAAGAGGGAGAGAAAGTAGATTTTAAAAGAAGTATATATGAGTTATATACGTGAAATCTCCGCTAATAATCGAGAGCGATATTTCTATCTTTGGAACTTGGTCGAAAGTAGAAATGTCTTGTTATTATAACGTTTCATTTATCCGTTTCTTATCATACCTTTTAATATAAATTACATTTCTATTTTTACGTTTATGTCTCGATATTATTGATCTATCGTTTCGCGATTTTATTGGCTCCTATAATATTTATTCGTCTAGTTATCAATGTCTCAATTTATTAACGCTGGATGAGGAAATCTAAGGAGAAACCTGGATGATAAATCATCTCTCGCTGAATTCAAAGCTGAATCAGAATAGGAAAGAAAAACTTGGCGTGTTATGTACACTATATATGTATGCGTTGTGTAATAAATAATCTGTTATACAACAAAGTACATAAAAAGCGAAACATATTCCGCATCTATCAAACGAAATGGCGTTTCAATCCTTCTATTTGATTCGTCACGGTACTCCCTGACAAAAGCGTAGGGATTGGTATAGTGATTGCGACCAGTATATTTGGCTTTTGAATCGTCCCCGAAAATTCAAGATATAAACGCAAATCCGACCATCCATAAAATTCGTGGCAAAATATCAAATTTGACGTGATTCCGCGGGCCACTGACTGTCGCATTCAAAAGTGACAAGAGACTGCGGCTTGCGCGAGTTTAGTAAATGGCCGATGGAAATCGCTTTTCGCACAATTGCGGAAAAAGTATCACTTTTATCGCTTAAAACGAGCCGATCGTGATTGAAAATAAGCTGTTTCATATATCAATTGATTAAACGCTGAAATGATTCCTAATGGATTGTAATGTATCATTTTGTAACGCTTCGTTTCCGATTGACCTTTCTGTCAATAAATATTCGAATAACCAGTTCCCAAAACAACTTTAATGATCGCGCGATTAATACAATATCAGTCGTCCACGTGCGCAAATCTGCAATTTTTTTATTTTTCTTATGCGTTTCAATACCTAATCTTTTTAAAATTGTAGTTTAATGGTCAATCAAAAAAAATAATATACTCAGAACATGTCTTTATATTTTAATTCGTTTTTTAAAAATGTCATTTATGCGACTCTAACATTGTATTTAACAATCGAGGTTGTTAAATGTTAAAAATGTGTATACAGAATTTTTTCCACCCGAAACAAAATACAAAGAGCTTTTATCCTCGAAAAACTCCTAAAATATAAAAGGAAAGAATATTTGATGCTATAAAGAAATTGTTGCAGTGCAATGTGTCAAAAACAGCTGATGTGTCAAATAATGTAAACTGTGATATGTCAAACGCAGTTGATACTCAAGTATCTACTATTATGTATATTGGAAAAGTGAAAAATTATGCATCGACGGAAAGGATTAAATGGAATGATTTATAATGGAAAGAAGCGTAATATTTATTTGTTTACGACGCTTCGTCCAGTTAATAAACTGATAGGCTTGTTTATAATTAGTTTTAACGTACTCTGCAATCTTCTATACACGCGTATGTAAACACTATATCGGCATGTAAATTTTCCAGAAATTCCGTAATTCGATGATGCGACTATAACTTTCTATATAAGCACGGATACAACGTTAAGTTAATAATATTTGTTTTAGCAAAGTCTCGATATTATATAATGCGTAATATTATATACTGCGTTTTGTTGACAATTACATAATACATGAAGCACATGTATTTGCCGATAGAATCATGTGAAATATAGATTTGAATTTTGCATTATTCGAATTAATCGCATTGTCGTACATTCGCGTTTTCACCTTCATTATTATATTTACACTCTCTAAGTCATCTTTACCCTTTCCTGGCACAATCAAACATTTAGCTCGATCGATTTGAAAGTTTTCCCGAAGTCGAAAACATGCTGTCCGCGTGGCGGACTTTTAGCGGCCAGTCGCAGAAAGGGTCAGGTCCTCTCCCCAGGGATTCAATTAAACGTTCTCGCTCTGAGAAAAATTTACAACTCTGTTTACGCCCTTCTGGTGAACCGGGCTCTTAATCCCGGATCTTCGTCCCGTTAATTGAATCGTCCGAATCCTCACCGGACTAAGACGTTCCGTCTTCTTATTGAAAATCCTTTCATTAATCCAGGAAACGGAAATGAAAGCTAGATTCTCTAACGCGAAAAATCGATCGACTGATTTAACGTTGTGTTGATTTTCCGGATAAAAGGAGTCACAAACCAGACACACGTCATTAGCTAAACATAAATTTTGTAATCGGATATATGTGCGGTATATTTAACGGGTTATCTAGTCGGCAGAAATTTGTTCATTTGACAAGAATTATACCGAGTATTTCCCCGTTCGACCTCCGCTTAATTACGAATTAATTGGCCGATCACTCATGCGCCGCTCCCATACATATGCGATGCCTTGTAATATCAAATGCAAATACGTCATAATTTCGTCGACTTCATTAATCACATAGTATCACCGTTAAAGCGTTAAAGGTGTTATACACTCGCTAAAGAGACTAGATATATTCGATCTTCCGAATAAATTTCTCCCAATTCCGAGTCCGCGTGTAAGTCTCATGTTTATTTCATCTCCCTAATTACGCCTAATCATCTACCCAATTATTCGATATCCCTCAAATTCCAACACCTCCAAACTGCATCCAAATTCCGGTCTGCCCAGAACGGAGCAAATTGATCGCGTGGCTTATCCTATATAAGGCGAGAAACACGAGCGTGAATTTTAATTCTCCCGCTACACCGAGAGTTACACGGAAAATTGTATAATATTCCACGTAACCGCGCGATTAATCACACACTCGGCAACTCGGAGATACGATTTTCTTCTTACTTCCGCCGCTCTCTCTCTCTCTCTTCGGAGAAAACCCGGACTCGGACTTAAAGAATCGCCGCAGTAGAAAAAGGCGGATGCGAAATGAGCTGTCAAGCGCTCTCCGGAGATTCTCTCTGTGTATTATACATGATCGTGTGCGCGCGAGCGGACCTGTTAACTACGTCTTGCGACGAGAGAGCTTTGCAAACTCCTCACGCCTGGCCTTACGTCGACAATCTAAGGAGACGAGAGAGAGAGAGACAAGAGAAGAGAGGCTTCCCGACGCAGAGACAGAGAGAGAGAGAGCAGTGATGCCGAAGAGGCAGACTTCCACCGTGTCATAGAAGGGATAGAGGCGGGTCGACGTGTAGTCCTCCTGGAGCCTGCGGCTACGATTATTAATGGGCAGGGCGTGACACCCCGCGAAATAACCTCTCTAACCCCGGCTTCCATGCCAGGACCAAACCGGCCAACCAGCCACCCTCCGGGTGTTCCAACTCCCGTATAGTCGCTTGTCTCCTCATAGGCATTAACTAGGCCAAGAACCGCTCGTTTGCCCGAACGAATTCTTCCTTCCGCATTCCACGATTTTTTTTTTGCCAGTGACTGACTAGACTTTCTGTTGTCGTTTTCTCTTTCTCATCAGGTTGATGAAGCTCTTCGCTCAATTTTTTAGCGATACATTTGTTTTAGTCTACGAGGCGAGACTCGTACTATACGAGGTGTTGAAAAAGAGGTAAAATATTTTAAGAGGATTTAGTAACAAGTCGAAAAGTTTTAATAAACGTGGGTAATAAATAAGCCGTTTTATTTGCAACATCTTCAAACTTATGCTGTCGTTTTGCTTGCATACGTTATAATAAATATAAAAATTTAAAACGAAATATAAAAATTATAAAAATAAAATATATTAAAAAGAAATAGAAATAAAAATTGCTTTTGATACGAAATGCGGTATTCGAGAATAAGCCAGAATGAGAATATGGCAAAATCGCAAATTAAGAGCGCAAGGGAAATAAAAACGAAAATATGTAAGTGTCACGCGAGACAGCTTTTCAAGTCCCAAACACGTCAAGATAGTGTCGAGTAATATGCTTCGCCTCGAGCTAGGTACGCGCTTAATTAATAATCACAACATCTCAAGAATTAATTGCGCCAAGGGTTGTCCTCTAGTATATTGTTGGAGAATATTTTAATTGGGGGAAAAAAAATAACGAAAGTTGCATAACTACGTCACGCGCTTCGTTGAAGAAGAACTAAAATCGTATCACCTTTTTTTGTTTTTTTTGTTTTCCTAGCTTTTACGTCGGAGGCAGTGGCTTCCACTGTTTTGTATATAACTGCGCGCATTTGCCAACAAGCGTGGTTTCTCATTTACATAATAAACTAGAGAACTTTAAAATATATTTAAATATTAACGAGTGTTGCAGAGCGCGATGCATTGTGTGATGTTTAGCTGAAATATTATTCTACTTGTTTTATGAAAGGTGTTCATATTTTTTATATCTATTTTATCTTTTACAGATATACATACACATATATACATATATATATATGTGTGTATATGCAGAGTGGTTCTTATAATGCTATGATTTTTAAAGCATTTACGATAATCTGATAAAAAAGTAATTAGAAATTTATTAATTTCTAATTGATAACAAACTGCAATGATAAAATTTGATCGAACTCTTTTTATTTAATTTAAAAAAAAGAAGATTATCTTGATTTTTTTAAATGGATTATTGTGTTTTTTTAATAATGTAGAGAACAGCAAAACAAATTCAATAATTATACATAATGTCATTTTAAATTACATTGCAACTCAATAAACCATGTTAAACTTGTTAAAGCATAATTCTACGTTATCGAGGAAGTTCAGTGGAAGCGTAAATAGTAAATAGATTCAAGAATTTGCTCTTATGTTGTCTATAATACAAAGTTTAGCTAATAACCTGATCAACAAACTTATCAGTTTATCGTGTGTCTGAGAGTGTCTAATATTAATGTGTGAATCGCTATTATACGAAAAGATAAGTATTATTAGTGTTTAGCGACAGGATCAAATTTATCAAAATAATTGAAATGTCAAAAGAATTTAAATATGAACAAAAAATAATCAAATGACATAATATTATATTATAGTATATATAATGAAATTTTCTAATACCGTTGAGAAAAGAAAGCTGATTATACGTTTTCAAAATTATTAAAAATGAGGAGAGAATTTGAATCTTGGAATTGAACAATTCGAAGTAAAATATGGCGCTCTCGAGGATCGATTTTAAACTGGTCACGACATTAGAATGCGACTCAAGCCGCGATGGTCAAAGATGGTCACGAGTCCCGTTTTGCAAATTGCTCACTCCGACGGACGATCGTTAGCGTCCAATCTCATGCATAAACGGATAGACGAACTGAACGGAAGTACGAAACATTTCACGATGCATACAGCGCTAGACGAAATTTCAGAACGTGGATCGACTCCCACCGCGGCAAACTACTTTCGAATGCGGGCTTCGAGCGTCCGACTACTTGTCAAGCAAATTCGCATTACTTCCAGTATTATGATCGCTCTTGTAGTTACCGGCATACAACACCCGTGGTAATAACTCTCCGACTTGCGCATCTCGCATAGTCATCGCGACAATAACGGTAGCTCACTCTAATTCTCTCTCTGGCCCATATCTCGCGTACAAGATAATAAGATGCTCTTGTTTTGCAGATGATGTATGTTTTCGAAGGTGGAATTCATAGTCGTGAATTTCTCGTAGTTATCAACCTCGGTCGCGAGTATATTTTCGAATAAAGAATTAAACGTGCCAAAGAAATGCATAAGTGGAAATTTAATGCATAATTCTATCAGTACATAATTATTTCATCTTTCTACAAATGTATGGATATCCGAGTGCCAACTGCGTTTGACATATCATTTGACATATATCAGCTGTTTTTGACATATCAGCTGGTTTTGACAATCAGCTGTTTGTGACACATTGCACTGCGACGATTTCTTTATAGCATCGAACATTCTTTCCAGTTATATTTTTGAAAGTTTCTTAATACAAAGGCTCTTTATATTTATATTTTGTTTTGAGAGAAGCAAAATTTTGTACATAATTTTAACTTTTAGCAATCTTAGAACTGTCAACGCTGTTAAGTAGAATGTTAAAAGTCGCATGAATGACATTTGTCAACCATTTTTAAAAGTCAAATTAAAATATAAAGACACACGCTCTGAGCATATTATTTATTCAAATACATGTATTAGCCATTAAACTAAAATTTTTTTAAAATTGTCGACACGAAAAAAATTTTTAAATTGTACATTTTTAATATTACCCGCGCAATCATTTCAGGATTAAAGTTACATTAAATATCCGAATATCCGTTCATAGTCAGAAAGATTAAAGGATACATTCAACTATAAATGCGAAAACTTAGTCTTCTGATAATCACGAATAATCATTGATACACACGCACATATAAAAAGAGACTCGATTATACATTATATGAGCAAACATTTCGCCACTTCTTCGTCAAACTTTACCGGGAAGAGATCGAACTCTCGTATTGGACCGCCACGACTTAAGGTAATCCGCCGTAAATAATGCACATCACCTAGATGCGGCTCTGGCCTCGAGCGCGAAAAGCCGCCGTGAAAACTCGTTGAGCTCCTTCGCTATAAGTTCGAAAGACGTTCCCCAACCTACCATGATATCGACCGCATTTTGCAGCAGCATTACCCATCCACTGCTATAAAGCCTGCGTTTAGCGGTATTTCCCACAAGAGTACGCGTCATCGACTCAGCGTACGTGCTATTTGTCGCGATACCAAAAGTTTCGCGGTTTACGTCATCCTGAGGATGAAGAAAGGGGAAAAGCATTAGGGAGCAAAAGAACAAAAATGCCATCTTGCAATAGATCAAAAGAGAGAAACACGGACCGAAACACCGAGAGAATTGCTCATCGGGCGGGAAAACGGATCTCGAGCTAAACATATATATATATCTCGAACCGGAAGTTTTTCCCGCAGATACAAAATATATATCAATAGGAGCGCGACATATTCAGTCCGTTTTATCGAACTCGACTGAAATCACATCTATCATTATTCATGCTAATTTCAACTTGATATATTGAGTTTTATGTGACTACTGGGATATGAAATAAATTATCTATCAAGCCAGATTATAAATTAATTCTATTATTTCGTCTGTTTTTCATAATAAAACTTCCCTTTTCACTTACATTATTTCCCTAACAGAATTGAAAATATGAGAATTAACGTACTGTCTCTCTCTCTTTCTCTCAAAAAAGAAAGAGAGAATAACGTACATTTTCAACGTTAATTTGATTATGCAGTGAGAATGAGAAAAATTACAAAATGAAGAATAGTTTTACGACAGCTCGACTTGCTAAAGGAGAAAATGGGTCATGCACTGGCATTAAATGGCGATCCAAGTACAAAACACTGTTACCCGCAAAAAACATTCGAAAAAAGAAATTCGAATAAGTAACGATACAAAAATTCAAGCAGTAGCTTAATGAAAGAAAGGGAGTTTTAATGTATTATTTAACACATATATAAAATTACGTGCAACCATCGAAAACCATTCCCGTCTGATTTGTAGTATCCTACAAAACCGACTATTTTCCATCAATATCAAGAATATCTTAAAAATATATTTAGAGAGAAACTCGTTGACGAAACGGAAATGGAGAGCAGACAAAGATTACGAAGAACGATCGAGTGGCGACCCGTCAACGACAGCTTCGTCTCGGCTCCGGTTATTTACCCCTGATGAAATCACAGCTTTGTACTCCTAAACGATCGATTGGCTAGAAGATGCACGGAAGACAAGAGCGACTGACCTCTTGAGAAGTCGGAGGGAAGACGGAAAACGGTGAAGGAAAGAAAAAGCGGGACCCGGTAATAGGCATCGACGCGCCGTGTTGAAAAGCCATGGAAAATCAATTATCGATCGTGCAAAGGGGTGGAAAATTATATCGATAGGCGCCGAACGCCGAAGGTGGCTGGCATCCCTCTGGATCTCGCCTCCTTTGAGTCCTTCCAAATACCGTTATCAGTACCGAACAGAGGAGTGATCCTTTAACTGTGTGATTTCGAGCGTAGCTGATTCTCCTCAGAGAGCAAGTGAATGCCCTCTCCTATCTCTTCGATACATAATTAAGGAAATGACAAATTATCGCCTCAAAATGTTTAAACTGTGTATTAAAATGATTTTAGTACGTCAGAAGAAAGGTAATATATTATATATAAAAATATATTAAATAATAAATATTGTATATAAAAATATATTATTTCCTAATTATTTTTTGTTCAATTAATAATGTTTATCAATTTGTTTTTAACTTTTCCGTGATTTTGAGAGAAATTCATTCTCCTAGAAGCAAAAAAAAAATAATCCAATGTTCAAACTGTGTTTCAGAAATTATTTTCGTATATCAAATTAAAAAATCGTAGTTTTGGGCATTTATTTATTTTTTTTTTTTTTCTATTAGAGTTCTCGTGAAAAATTTAATAAATAACATTTGTAGATTTTTGCAAAAAATTCCGCGGAAAATAAAGTTTCTCTTGTTTCTTGCTCGTGTGGAGCGCGAAGGATAAACGTATCGAAAAAATACGAAAGCGTATGTTGGCGGTGAAAACATACCATTTAACACGTGGACGGACACCATAGTGGCTGCTGCTACATTCGCCAGGGCGCAGCTGTAGTTCCCGCTATCTTTTTTATTCGCATTTGCTATGTAGAGCCTAGATACCGCACCGGCTGCACCCATGTCCGTCTTGACGCTAGAACAGAAAGCAGAAACTCCGTACAAATCTTGACAATGGCGACCATTATCGCGCGTGTTTCCGCGAAATAAAGAACGGACGCTCACTCGACAGTTATTTGTGCGAAAGGGATGGATAAAGGATTTTACTTCGCAAAAACAGATACGAGAGCAACGATACAATTGTCTTGAACAAATAATGTAATGTCAGACAAAAGAGCGCATGGTTGAAGATAAAACTGTCTGACGCAAAAACGTATGACAATACACGAAAAAATACACGCTGTTGCCGACAATTGTGTATATGTCCTTGTATTTTATTTAATAAAATTGTAAATTCTTATTATTTCGCATGACGAATATGGCGTACTCAGAAGTTTGCAGCGCTAAAAAATAATGCTGCAATCTATGACGGATAACGTTAACTTATGACTTATGACGATAGCAGGTGGCTGCTGTAAGAATGCCCTTGAGGAGCCTTTCGAAGGAAGGGACGTGAAAACGAGAGCACTTTATATCCAAAATTTATCACCCATGCATGGATAAGACTTTTTTTTATGCCACTGGATAATAAACAGATTCGCTCCGCAGTTCGCAACCGCAAACAAAATAACCATCCATCCTAACCCTCTAAAAATTGTAAAACAAGCCCTAAAAAATTGTAAAACGCGCACACCTTTTCGTGAAAATAGATTTGTCAGAAACATATATCGAAAAAAATATCCCCTTAAACAATATATATGATAAATTTATATCACAAGTTTATTTATTATCTTGCGCATATATAAAGTAAAACAATATTAAAAGTATGTAAATATATAATATAAATATAACTCAAGAAAAAAATATATTTTTTTGAAAAAAAAAATATATATATATAATATGCTTCTTGAAAATGTAAAGATATACATATTTTAGTTTGTTAAAACACAATTTGCAGAGAAACTTTAAGATAATTAGTTTTTCTTGCCTTTACTCGAAATACCTTATAGTGAATTAACGAGTTTTGCAACTGGAAGCCTCGAATATAATCATTTCTGAAGAATTTTCTAAGAATTAGAAACTCATTAAGGCTTCGCACAGAGAAATATGTTTGAAAGGCGAAAGTTACACGAACAACGAATTAGTCGAGGTTTCCTTATTTCGAGTCGGATCTTATACTCTTACTTTAAAAATTAAATTGGTAAAAAATTACCAATCGACGATACGAACTGTCATATTTAAACTTGTTTATGAGCAAAAGTAAGAATATAGAAGCTAAGCTTAACACTTGAGACCACTCGCGTTTCTGGCGAATTAAGCTGATGAAATAGAGCATTCAAGAGAAGAATAAGAGAAAGGCGGGGAAAGGCGAGGAGGATGTTCTGCGAGCAGAAGATGGAAGAAAGGCGTAAATCAAGTAGTTCGCCCTCCAGCAGCTGCCCTTGACAGATCGAGCGCTCCTCCCAAGCTTTCTTACCCCTCGATCTCGGGCAAAAGGAAAGGGAATAGAACGTTAACGTAAGTTGCATACGTCTTCACGTATATGTATAGCATCGTATTAATTTCGCACATTATCTCATTCGTGTGTTACATTCGAAGCATCGCTTGCATACCTAATACATCCATATAGCGCGAAATTAAATTTTTACTCGGCGCAGCCGGCGAAGAATTTCCTATTCCGAGTTTTGTGTTATGTTAAAGAAAAATTGAATCTTAAAAATAATAAAAGAGACGAGGAAAACTAGCATGGTGAATATAAAGAAAATAGGCGAAAAAAGAAACGTGCTGTCTCGCTTGAAATTTTTGAAATTCTTGAATATTTAAATATGCGTGATGGTTTAGATATACTGTATGTTACGTAAGTCGGTTGTGTAGAAAGATCTCGTGAAGAAAATGGAATAAAAAGATATGTAGATATTTGACATATTTGACTTTTTTATTTCATTTTATATATTGCATACAATTTATTTTTTCCATCATGTATTATATGTATAAATATAAATAAATAAAAACAAATAAATTTTATATAAAAGAATGCGAAAGACGCCGAGTAAAAGAAGAAATAGAAGAAAGCTGGATTTTAAAATATCGAGCTCAAGAGAGAGACGACAAGCCGATGACGCCAAAAAAGATGGAAAAGAAAGATACGAAGAATAGGAAAATGTTACAGAGGTTAAAGAATTCACATTCGAATAACCCGGATGCCGCAAAAGACGCATCTCCTTGTCCCTTCCTGTCTCGCCGACGACCGCACGGATGCTTCATCATTCCGCCAAACCTTTGCGGCAAAGGTTCTTTGAGAGCAACACGTCGAGTACGCTTTCAAGAATGCGGCGAACGTTACTGTTACAACGTTAAAAGCACTTGTTGCCAACATCGTTATCGTTACCGTTGACGCCGCCCGTTGGTGTTTCCGGCTCTTTCGCGTTTGTCGTCACGGCACGTGTAAGCAGATACTCGAATTCCGCCCCTCGAATCGAGTATATATCTTTGCGTCGCGCGTGAAAGGCATCAATAACCCTTAACTCTGTCAACGAACGAGGTACGCGGTTACTCAGAACAACTTTTTAAATGTCCAAAATTTGCGTGGCACTTTTCACCGCTCGAAAAACGAAACGCATAGCTGTTAATGTTCAGCGCAAGGACATCAGACAACGAATTCCGCGTAGCGTGAAATCGAAATAATGACTCTGGCACACCAATCGGTAAACTGGAACGAGCCAGAGTGGACTCTAATGGTGAATACATTTCATGGTCCGTGTTTTTAGTAAAATGCATTAACCTTTCTATCAATAAATGGTACCCCGATAACCAAGCACAACGAAGTGGTCGCTTAAATGACATTAATCATCCACGTGCACGAATACCTATGTATTTTTTTATTTTTTTTTTTTTGTGTGTCATAATCTTTTTAAAATTTAAAGTTTAATAGTTAATACATGTATAAGTATATAAATAAAAAAATTAATAAATGACAGATATGTTATTAGTCTCATTTAACCACTGGAATTAAATGTTATATACGAAATTTTTCTCTGCTCAAACCAAAATGCAAAGAAAAATGTTAATTATATTCAAAAACCTCTAAAATATAACGAGAAAAAATGTTTAAATGCTATAAAAAATTGTTGCAGTGCAATCTGTCAAAAACAGCTGATATATCTGTCAAATGATGTGTCAAACGGAATTGGTACCCATTGATGAAAAAGTGAAGAAAGTTAAGCATTGGCAGAAAGGTTAACGACATCAACGCAAACCTAGATCTTGAGTTTTCTCCATATTGAAAAAAATGGAATATTGAGACGCGGAAAAAAGTGGTGATCGTGGAGAAAAAAGAGCTCACGTTCACGTCGAAGCGAACGAGCGGAATGTCCAGGGCGACTCGTGTACTGCATGCGCAAGAGATTGCTTTATCCATCAGGAGGTCAATGCAGCAACTCGCGTAACATTGATCCGGCCGTTCTACCACGACCGAAATTTTCCGACGATTGGCATCCGGGGACAGATCACATGCCATTTGCCGTTCCAACAACCACTCGCGCACGCGGGGATAGACATCCGTCACGCATGTACATAGAGAAAGAGGGAGAGAGATAGTCGTATGAACACTTGTTTTATTATATTTCATTTAACCGGAAATGCGCGTTTTCGAATTTGTCCCCGATATCCGTTGACATGTCACCGTTTAATCCCCGACCGTTGAATCGCTCGCGGCGAGAATTTGTATGCGGAAAGGGCAAAATCTCGCTCTCTATCTATCTATCTCTCGCGGTGACACGGTAGATTAAATACGTATCGCGCGAAAATCAAAAGCTATACGCATCAACGTAAATTTTTCTAATTTTTAACGCACGCGTTGAATTTTCATACTTTACTTATCGCGCAAGAAAATAAAATCAAATGATATTCTCTCTCTCCGTTCTTAATCCGCGTTCGTATAGTGTATAATATCCGTTCTTCCATGCGCGAAAGAATTTAATTTCATGCATTGTTCTTAGTCTGTATTGCACGAGAAAATATCAGGATATATATGAAATATCCGTGAACGGGAAATCCCTTTAAAAATATGTATCTCAAATATACGACATCAATGCTTAATAAACGAATTTTCAGTACAATTGTTCCTTCTCTCCAGCTTCATTTTATGAAACTTCCTTTAACGCACTTTATGAAATTTTTTGCACGCGCGTAGCTAAATATATGAAAAATTATTAAAATATTCGCATATGTCTTGCGTGTGTTGCCGGTGCAACTCATTTGAATTTCAAGAAGCAATGAGGTTTTCTCGTTAAGCCGGTAAAGTTGAAGTATTATTTTGCGATATACGGACTAACAAGAAGAATGTATTACTTCGTGCGTACCTGTATGTGTGTGTCTGTACAACACATATAATTCATTTTCTCAATCAACGTATCTTTTCGACTCATTATTTTTAGTTCACACGCTCACAACCTAACGTACTTAACTATTCCGCTAGAAAACAATTCCGGCTTTCTCTATCTCTTTCTCTCAAATATAGCTTTTTTTTTACTACGCCGTGGAATTTAATTCGGACATAAAGCGCAAAATTTATCCTCAAATTTTTCCGCACGCAACTTCGTCCACTCGCGAGAGCTCCACCTCCTTCGCGTTCGACCTAGAAACTTTTTTTCCTCTTATGGATTCGCAGTGAATTTCGCGGCAGCGCGGCAGTGTGTAGAGAAATTTAAGAGAGCTTTCACAGTCCATTTTTTGTTTCCTCTCTTATTGATTATTCTCTTTTCTTCTCTTTTTCCCCATCTTTTTTTCTCCCACCAGAAACGGAGTTGTATGAGTGAAGCGATACGCATATGCGGTTCACACACTCCGCGAGTACGTGCATCTTTTAACGTCAGAACCGAGAAACAGTTGGTAACGGCGTGGTTTTACGAAGATCGTAAAAGGATTGTGGCGTGAAATTTACCCATCGGAATGCGCACGAGATAGAAAAAAAGAGAGACTCGGAACATGCACTTTTGCGAGCCATTACGCAAACATAAACGCTGTGTCATAATGATT